GGGCCCTCGCGGGGGTGGGGTGGTCGCCGAGTCCTTTCGCTTGGGCAGCGTCTGATCTCCGGCAAACTTGACACAGATCCCCACCGCGCTCGGGCAGCGCCAGGCGAGGATCAGGGCGGCTCCCTTGGCTTTCTCGGCTTCCGACGGTGTAATTTACTCTGCTTTATGTAAGTCCCTGGGAATCTCTCAGAGCCACAGAGGATGTGACTGCAGCCGGGCGAGGAAGCATCGGCAGCCAGCAACTTTGAGCCGACACCCCGTGTTCCGAACACGCTCATCACGACCGGCCACTGCGGCTGTGAGCTTTGAGGTTGGCTTCTCCGCCTTTCCCAAGGGACTCGGCGAATTAAGCCTCGCTGTGCACGTAGAACACCTAGGCCAGCTCCCTTTCATTCGTGCGTCCTTCCACCAAAGCGACTGCTCTCAGGTCTGGTCACGAGCGGTGAAATCCACAGAGCCAGGTCCCAGGGCTCACGGAGTTTCCATTCTCCTGAGACGTTCAGGTTTGCTATGAGAGCTTTATAGCCTGGTAGCCGACCTCGTGCGGGGGACAGGGGTGTCTGACAGCTTCTGAAAAGAAATACTGTTTTGCCTGAGAAAAGTGAGGCACCTAGAAGGGTTGGGGCTTGCTCGAAATGCCACAGTTAGCAAGTGGAAAAGCTAAAAGTCAAACTCACGTCTCCTGGCCTCATGCCCCTTGATTTTCCCTCCATCAAGAAAGTTTAAAAAAAAAATAAAAAAATAAAAAAAAAATATATATATATATATATGTTATCAAGTCAGCATTCTCAGTTTCTGTCAAATTAAACAAATAATAATTAAAAAACCAACCACCCCCTATTGCATTTGACTTACTGGTTTAATGGTTTAAGGGAAAGAGAAATGGGGAGATGAGGGAGGAGTAAACAAAAGAAAACAAAGTAAAACAACTACAACAAAACACCCAACACATCTTCTTCAGCCACCTTTGGGTTCAGTCCATCACGAAAACTTTTGGAATGCAAATTGGTCCTCTCCCTTCCCTCTTTACTCCAAAATATCCCAGGTCCAAATGAGAATCCCACGTTACACACACGATTGGTGGCGTGGGGGTATAATCTACCTCCTGAAAGCTAGAATTTGTAATCTGTTTCCTTACACGTGTTTCTTTTCTATCCTTCTAAATCTCCATCAGGCGCACCTGGGGATTTTCAACTGTCCTATCTCATCAGCTGGCACTGATTATATTTCATTATCCAAATGATGAATGTTCTAGAGTTATAGGGCAGACACTCTTAACGTTTGTGGCTGAGCAGAGTCATCAAAAGACCACATCTGGAGCCTTCTAGCAATAACCCAGTATACCTTCAAGTATTTTTACTGGTGTGGTAAGTACACCTTGGCTGAAGTGTGGGGTCTTTGTTGAATCTGTTCCCAACCACATGGTGGCTATATCATACCTTTTTATATCTCAGATGATGAGATTACTATGGCTCCCATATGGATACATCAAAATATATTAATTCATTAAAAAGTATTATCTTCCTGCCCTGTGCAAGCTCCCTCTCCCCTTTTTTCCCTGGAGCGCAGGAACTATGTCCTATCAACTTTTTATTTCTCTTACAATCTAACACAGCATAATACACTAAATAAATGTTCAATAAATTGAATTTAATTTTTTGTCTTTTGGTCTAACTTCCACTGGGATTTTTTAAAATTTATTTGAATGCAGCACTTTCAGCTTGGGCAAACTATAAGCAAGATCTCCACCTTGTGGGCATAAGTAGAATATCATTTAATTAGAGAAAAGTGTATACATTTTTAACTGGATGATGATTTAAACTCTGAGAATATTAAGTGGCTTCTGTGGCCC